TATATATATATATATATATATATATATATATATATATATATTAAGAACATTTAAAAAAATTTACAACTAGCGCATAACTGGCAAAATAACAGTGATGTTTAGATTTTTCATAAATGAACGTACCATAATGATATTCCTCTTGCTGTGTCCCCGCACATGCATGCTTTTCAACACATGCTAGCACATGCTTAATAAAGTGAAGATAATTAAACCCAAGTCTTGTAAATCCTACTCGATTGTTTTCGTGGCACAAACTTAAAAAGTTGAAAAGGAAGTATGATTGTTCAACTATTGGAATATATTTTTAAAAATATATATTAATTAGTCTTCTATATGATCTACCATTACAATATCCTTTTATCATCTACAACTGTATGATCGAGTTTAAAGTTTATACAAGAATCTTGTTTTTATATATGCATTTTTCTTTACTAGTAATTTTTAAAAAAAATATTTGGGCCTTTGATATCAGTATTTAATATATTTGTTTTTTGATAATCAACAGAGGCAAAAGTCCAAGACAAAACAAATTATAAAGTAAATCTAGGAAAAGCTAGCTGCCCCATAGCGAAGGATAGGAACATGTTTAATAATCACCTGCCAATCTGATTTACAATTAGATTGTAACTATTCACTATTAATTTGTTTAATTAAATTGATGCATAACTATTCGCAATTCAAATCATGTGGCTGAAATATAAATCGATCTGTTATATTAATCAAGTACAAATTAGATAAACTTTACTGTTACAATTACATTAATTATATTACGGCACCATATCTAGCTAAACCTTGCATTGACGCTGCAAGGAAAAAAATACAAGATCACAATTGGTTATGCATGCAAACGCACAGGTATAATCACAGCAAAAATATTAACCTTTTCACGCTCTAAAATCTTAGATCCTCCCCCTACATTTATGTATTTATGCGTGAGAATCTATACACAAACATAGAGGAGAAGGATGTAAGATTTGGGGTGTGAAAAATATTTCCAAATACTAAAAGAATCATAATTCTAGGTTGAACTTTTCTGTGAGAGTAATGCCATGCTTGCTTTTTGGTGTATATCTCTTGAACACTAGTGTATGCCGTTCTCTTTGAGAAACACAACACCTTCTTCACATTTGACTGTTTGGTCCTCAAATGCAAATGTGGCACATGAACTCTTTCCGACCATGCTTCTGGCTTTCAACGACTCCCTTTCCCAATCTGTCTTGAACACCACAACAAAAATTGAGACAACACATGCGATCTGTGCTGCAAGTAGGCCGTAACACAGGCCCACCATCCCTAGTTTCCAAACGAATGCCAAAACAATTGCCACTGGTGCTCCCACCAAATAAAACGAGCAAAAGTTTATAACAGCCCCAACACCAGGCCTAGCACTCCCTCTAAGGATTCCACAGCTTGTGGTTTGAGGACAATTCGCTAACTCACACACTCCAATTATAGGTAACACCACCATGCTCAATTGTAGCACCTCACTATCACTAGTGAACACTCTCCCCCACTTTTCTCTCCCCACTGTGGTCCACAACAAACCGAAAATTGAGCTTGCAAGTGCTAATCCTATGGCCACTACAGTTGACAAACTTGCCCTTTCACCTTGCCCCGCCCCAAGTTCATTTCCTACTCTCGTTGACACCGATGCACTTAGTGCTGTTGGCAAAGTGTACATAAGAGACGTGGTTTGTATCACTATCCCAGCCGTGGCTAGAGCAACACGAGGGTTATCAAGGTAACCTGCTGAAATTGTCATCAACTCGTACCACCACCATTCCAAGCAAACAGCTAGACAACTTTGTACCGAAAATTTAATTAGCACACACCACTCCCTAGTGCTACTACTGCTACATGATACAATCAGTCTGTTTGGATACAAACTTAAAAACGTTTTTGAGAGTTTCTCAATCAAAAAAAGTTGTTTATTTTCAGTTGAAAAGTTCTCAAAAGTATTTTTATCTTGTATCCAATCTGGCTCTGTCGTTAATAATGGCAAGTGTAAGGAGTACTCCTTAGGGGCACGTGTGTAGAACATGCATAAAAGAAGGAAGAAAAGGTTGTTAAAGTTGGCAACGCAGGATGAAATGGCGATTCCCCGTACGCCAAGGTGGAGTTTGAAGGTTAAGAAAGTTATGATGGGAAGGTGTAGAAGAATGGAGAGTAAAGTGCACCAGAACAGTGGCCAAGTTGTTCCTCTACTGCGCAGGTAAATGCGAAGAGGGTGGAGGAAGCTGTTGGCGATGAGGTCTGGGATGGCGAAGCGGCAATAGAGGGTTGCAACTCGGGTTATGTCTGGATTCTGACGAAGGAGAAGCATGAGAGTTTGGAGGTTGAACCAGAGAAGAGAAATGGGGATAGAGAATAGGAGTAACATGAGGATTGTTCTGTGCAGAGTGAGAGAGAGTAAGGAGAAGTTTCGAGAACCGAAGGCTTGGGTGCAGAGGGGTTCCATGCCCATTGCTAGACCTGAGAGGACAGAGTAACCGGTTATGTTGGTGAAGCCTATGGCCAGAGAACCTCCTGCTAACTCGAGGCTTCCTAACCTTCCCATGCACACGACTAAAGTCAGGTTTTTGAGGTACCCCACAAGGCTCATGGCTGCTATTGGGAACCCTATGTCTGTCATTCTCTTTACTTCGTCCAATACCTGCATCACAAATAAAATACAGTGGTCAGTGGTCACTATATATATTTAGTATGTTAGGAGTGCTATAACATTCTCTTTCATCAGTTAAAATTGATCGAAAACTGTAAACCACCAAAGATATTCTTTAAACTTTTCTGAGACCATATTTAAAAGGGTTTGAGAGACTATATTCCTAGCAATATTCTCTTTAGTATATTGACAGGTTTTACATTCTCTGATAGCCACCATAAAGTATAATGATATTCTTCTATATACGCTAAAATGGGATGGATTGATTTGGAAAAAAGAGAGTAAAGGGAAAAAAAAGCTGGAGACAAAAAATAATAGATATGATAAGTGACGTGATGGAATGATGAGAATAAAAGTCTGATAGGAAAGAAAATGGTGGATGATAAATATTTTTCTAAATAAAACACAATGCACCGGTTTAATTAATGTATGTGTGTATGAAATTCATAGAAAAGGAGAGGAAGGTCGTGAAAGGATGGAATGGTAAAATAAAGTTTCTTACCTCGGTCACTGTCGGGTATGTCTTTTGGGATTTCTGATCTGCAAGCATCTTAAACCTTTTGGTTAATAGTTTTCGTTTTCTTGTTTGTGTGTATTTTGAGAAAGAATTAATTATGAGGAAGAAGGGGATAGTAGTGGTAGGGATTTATTATTCCTCTCCTCTGAAAAACACTCCTTCAAAAAAAAAAAAAAAAAAAGCGATAGGGGACAAGGAGTTAGAGAGGAGAGGAATCAAGCGAAGTGGGTGTGATCAGGAATTAAGCACAGACTCTTTTATAAGGTTTGAAGGTGGTCTTGTTACGTAAGTTCGTTTGTTAGCATTGATTGACAAGCTCAAAAGCTATCATATAATATTATTAATTGCTATTTCTCAAATAAAATGATCCCAAAAGCCTAGGAATAACTAACACTATTGGAGGGGTTGGTTCGGTGAAAGGGACTAGTCCAGTAGTTCCTATAACTAGTCAATCAATATTTATATATCTGTTGGAAAATGTATATATATTTAGTGTTTAATTATGTTTTAAACAGGATTGATTCTAAAAAGTAAACATTAAAAAAGCTTGTAGTATTTTTTTATTGCCAATCTTAAACTTCTTCTCCAAAATATGGAAGGAGGTTGAAGTGAAAGGTAAAAAAAAAGAGAGGAAAATAAGTAATAACAATAATAAACGATGTGATGAATAAATAAATAAATAAAAATGAGGTAAAAATTAAAATTAAAAGATAGAAAGTTTAACTCTACCTCTTTTATACTACGTGATAAATAAAAAAGAGAAAAATAAAGGAGTTATAAAAAGATAGGTAGATATGAAGTCATAAATAAAATAAAATAAAATGAGTTATAAAAGGATTTAGTTTAATATATCGGTAGGTTTATGAATTTTTTGAGAATTTTTACTTAACTTTTTTTTTTAAATTAACTAAATCCTTTATTTTTATAATTTTATAATTTATATAATTGAGCCCTAAAATTAACTTATAACGACTTAGAACAGCCAGGTAAATAACAATTTGTGGCATGATATATTGAACTAAAAAGATATAGAAAATGTTTATAGAAAATAATATAACTTTTTTAAATTATTTTTTTATATTTTTTATTTTATCATGATCGTGACTCTCCCTTTGAATTTTCACGTCCTTTCCGCCACTGTTGATACCTAGATGAAAGTATCCCTTATTACTTCTAAGTGATCGGAACCAAAACTCAAGATCCTTCTTGATTACTTTGGAACTGTTATGCCACTTTATTAAAAGTTCACATATATGGCATTCAAATTTGCATTGAACATGTTGGAAAGCTACTCCTTGTTGTGTATAGGTTAAAACAGAGCCAAATACCACACGAATATACGAATTAATAACTCCAGAATGTGCAAGTAATCAGTAATATTGTTACAATAGTAAACACGAAGAAATACCTTAATCAATTGATTCTGTAAAACTCAAGTCCTACTTTGTCATTTTTCCAAATGTATAGAAGCATTTGTCCGATAAAAAAAACTTCATATATATGCTGTATTACCAGAAATTTATCTACATTTTTAAAAGAAAAATATTCGTTGTGCATGTGAGTGAGACTACTGCCACTGTAATGTAGATCTACTTAGATCATGTTTGTGTATTTTGGGTGCTGACAAGTGTTCAAATATATCTCATGCAATCGCTCCGTATACCATTTGATAAGTAACACTCCTAGCTACTTGACACGCTTAATAATATCGTGTTTCAGGATTTTATATAAAGAACAAAACTTTGGTGCATTATTTAGGAGCTTTTGATATTTTTTTTTGTCATCATTGGTTTAGATAATTATTTAATCATATTAGTTATAGGACATAACCATTTTTTGAATATTCTATTAGGCTTATGTATAATCTATTATAGGTTAGATTGCTTATATAAATTTACTTGGGTCCTTCCCTCGTCTTATTTTTAAGCAAAAATAATATATTGAAGGATAATGATTTTGATCTGTTTTTTGTAAAGGAATATGAGTACAAGGAGATATTCCTTTTGTCACAAGAAAAAGGAAAGTGTTTACACTCATTTTGAAGTTTAAGAAGGCGGAAGAAAGAGAGAACAGTAAATATTATAAGTTTTAAATAAAAAGAAAAAGAGATTTTCTTTTAAAGAAAAGCATATAAATATAATTATCCTTTTTGTTATGATCTTGGTTTTTTTTTATAAGAAGGAATAATTTCTTTTTATCAAGTCATTTACTATAAAGATAAAATGTCCTTTCAATCACAACTTCATATCAAAAATCAAATTTCAATTTTTAATAAATGAGTTGAAGTGTCAAATTACTTAAACTAATAACTTTAGGATGTATTTTATTTTGATTACATAAAAGTCTCACTTTTGATATAACATCTTCTAATGGTCTTATTAAAATAGAGATTAATTTTTTACATAGATAAAAGATAAAATTTATTCTCAACACTTTTAAAATAATTTATCATGTTAGATTCTTTATTACTTAATGTGAATGTACAGTTTCTAAGCCAAATTCTCATATAATTAATAAAATTTGTATTTATATAAAATTGTTTGTGTTTTTACATATAAATTATTGGTTTAAATTATTAATAAAATTCATCAAGTTTTAACTCAATAATTAGTCTTAACATTTCATGATTGCATAAAATATTGAAATAAAATTTCAATTTTATTTAAATTAACATTTAAGATAATGACTTAAATTTGCCTTTTTTATGTAAATAAAGATATAACCACATCATAAGTCTAAGGTAGCATTTGAAATACGCGTTAGAACGGGATAAGATGAGACATATGAGTTCTATTCCCTATTTAATGAAATTAAAAAGGAGAACAGAACGTGACACATTAAAATATGGAACACTTTTGTTCCTTGGAAAAAAGGTGGAATCAATTAAAACGAGATAGGAAATTTTATTAAATATTTTTTAATGAAAAAATTATCACTCCTTATCTTTATAACTCTTTCACTGCACATCCAATTAAAAAACAAAATCCTTGTCGCAATCCTTTTTCGTCCGACACTATTCGTTACTATTTTTTCCTCTTTTTGTACTGTTCGTTGCTCCCATTGTATACAAGAACAAAGCGAGTTTTTTTTTCTTTTGCTGTGTTATTTGCGTCATTGAAATTTTTGTGCTTTGCTATTTGCATTATATAAATTACTTATTATTTGAATTACTATCGTTTGTTAATAGAGAGGATGCTGGACCCATTCAAATCAAATCAACATTATCATGGTATTTTGTTTTATTTCCTATGATATTAAAACTTGATGTTTTATTTTATTTTTGAACATGAGAACAATGTCATTATTGTTATGATAAATGTATTTATTTAAAACTTTACAAGTGAATATTTTAAATTTTTTATTTGAAACTTTTTCATATAGTAATAACAATATATTTAAGTTAATTATATTTTATAAATTATACTTTATTAAATATTTCATATTTATGTATTTAGAAAATAATTATAAAATTTTATAAAATATAAATATTAATATATTAATAAATTTTAAGAATATTATATAATAATAGTCATAAAATAACAAATGTGAAAAAAAATGTTCTATTCTATTCTATTCTGTTTAGTTTTTTATACTCAATCAAACATTAAAAAAGATAAAGATATATATGTAATTAAATATGGTGTTCTATTCTATTCAACAAGTACCAAACGTAAAATAGAACACATGATTTCGTTCTATTATGTTGTTTCCAAATAAAATATAAATACATTATTATTCTATTCCATTCCATTATGTTCTATTTTGTTCCGTTCCACTACCAAATGCTACCTAAGAGTATCTAGAAAGCAAAACAAGTTCAATCCAATGAGTTGTCACCTTAAATTCACTAAACTCTTAGGATAAATTTAACTCCACCGATATATATTTTTTTTATTGGGTTGAGTTATTTTTTTTTTTTAAATCTCATTTATTGTATCCCACCAAAATTTATTTATGGTGTTGTATAGCTTTATTAGTGATAATGAACAAATTATTGATGGGTGTAAATTTGTCCCTTTAATTATGATAGATGTATTTTTTTAAGCATTATGACAGATGTATTTGATATTTATTTGGATGTTTTAATAGGCTAATTAATTATTATTTTAATTATGTTTGATTTTTTTTTTCTATTTATTTTGTAGTTCAACACATATTGGATTGAATTTAAAATTTCAACTCAAATAAGTTGAATCCAATTCAACTCATTTTTTTAATTTAAGATTAGATTCAATTAATCCATTTTGACATTCTTACATATGCTTACAATTCATTTTATAAAAAGAAGATTAAGGTTTTCAATACAGTGGATTTTTATTTTACTGCTGGTTTTATTTATATAAATAATTTTTATTATTTGAGAAGGCCTTTTTTACTGTTTCAAGTGTACACTAATATTGAGTATTCACCAATCATTTTCCATTCTAAAGTATGAGTGAAGTACCAAAGGTTATAAAATGGAAACTGTGTTCTCACAGAACATATATTTTGCAATTAAAGACTGTGATAATTTGTTAGTATAAGGTCACTTCAGTAAGCTATCACTAGTAGGGCCTGCCTTTAAAACTAACAGCATTAGGATTGTGGGGCCTTCCGTCCACATCAGAAAACAGAGTCGAAAATAAGATTGTATTGTAAGCAAAAATTGCTTTTAACCACGTGTTAGCGCTAATTTTATTTATCACAGATCCAAAATCACTGAACCGTTCCAACCTCACAAAACAAAGTTTCCTATTGGAGCACAAGCTTTGTTAGGAAAAAGTTTCTATACCTAACTTGTAATTCCAATATGTCATATTGTCATATGTCCCCCCTACCCTGTGTTTTTGGCTTTTTTTGACAAAGCCACAAACCTACCATTTACGTGGCTAGTTTGTACTTTTAAGAGCAAAAGAAGCTCTCTTTCATTTCTTGATGGCGGATAGCTAAAGAACCTAAGAATTTCACTCTTTAATTACCAAGGTTAAAGGTGGCTTTCTACAAATGAACTCGTCATAGCTAGTGAGAACGTGGGCGGTGGGTGAAGTTGAGAATTTGACAAATAACGAAACCATGTCATGTCTATAAGCTGCATGCTAGCCATTTGTATCTTTTTTCACTCTTTATTGAGGTTGGCCATGCTAATGTTCTTTTGAGCTTCATAGCTTCAAATTAGGCATGCTAATGTTCTTTTGAGTTTCATGACTTTTAAACCATCGATGAACACCTCCTTCAATCAAAGTAACCCGTTCATTAACATTTACCATCTAGTAAAACATTGCACCAAGAGGCTCGATGAACACCTTTTTATATTGGGAACTAATCTGAACCTTTTTCCAACTCTAATGATGCGGAACTTGAGACTTGAAAAACGGATGACATATTAATATTACAGATTAACTGTTATATCTTCATGTCGCACTTATATGGAACCATGCATGTGCAATCTAGTTGCACCAAATGTCTAGGAAATCCTCATCAACAACTATGATCCCCACACTTAATCTTGTCGATAATTTGCTCATCTGTCAAGAATATAAAATTATGATGGGATTTTATACCAGTCAATAAGATGTGCTAGTACGGAGTGACAAAACGCATCAAAATGTCATATATATGATACGCCCATGGTTTCTGAATATATTCATATATATAGTTGTTTACGGTGAAATTTGTTTTATGGATTCTTTTTACTTTAACTAGCACGAAAAACGTTTCAATTTAGATATGTGATGTTTCTGAGTTTTAGTCTTATAAAACGAGAAGAGGAGTAGTAGGAAGATTTAGTAATTACTTGTTTCTAAAGATTCCTCAATAATTAACAAGCAATAATTTCCATACATATAAATGCTAAGATGAACAAAATGAATAATTGAGATACTTGCAATACAAATCATGGTTCAACTTGCATAATGTTCAAGAGTTACAATATCAAAGTAATATAACTATGTGATTAAAAGAAATAACTAAGAGAACTATGTTAATTCTACTCCTAAAAAGCAAAAGAAAAGTGGCCGAGAGTTAGTCATACCAAAAAACGATCTTGTGCACGAAAGCCATATGTGTGTAGGCAGAGAGTGCTTCAGAAGTTAATTCAAGTATGAGTTTTTCCGACCTCCGTGAAGGTACGTAGCTTCTGTATTTATAGAGCCAATCAAGAACGGTTAATTTCATGCATGTACGCCACTAGTGGATAACCGCTATCTACTATACTTGTTACGTGACTTTAAATTGTAACTTCCCATAACCGTTCGCCTCACGCTTCAACTTTACTCGATTCGACCCTTAATAACCACCTTAGTGTGCCTTAACTGTTAAGATCCCTTCAATAACAACTCTACAATTTCGAGTTACTATTACATTCCCAAGTTGCTATCGAGACCGCGTTCTAGCTTAACCCCTTAATGAACAACAGATAAATTTTCGAGCACTCCTTTGTTCAATTTAATTAATTCTATTCGAACACATTCACATGTGAACAAATAAAGCTCTCAATTTAATCTTGGTAGGTGTTTAACTTTTATCTTTTATTTCGAGTAATTTTCACACCCTTTTTCGAGTCACATGATTTTCGAGTAAGCCTAACAATAGTTCACTGAATCTGATACCCTTGGTCCCATCAGCTGTGCAAAAATTACAACAACCAACGCCTTTGTATCATTGTGTGCCGTGAATGACAAGTGGACGTTTCTTTCATCATTTTACACTTCAGTTGAATCGCTTCAGGATTAGGAAAACACTATCAGAGGGATATCGATCTTTCTAACCCATAATCAAATGCATTATATCCATGGGCCAAGCTATCCCATTATTCCACTCTATCTTATGCTATTCATACATACTTCTACACTCGCACTAATTTTTTTTTTCCTCTTTCCTTACTCACGGATCCTTATATACATTTATATAAACATATTTACATTTCTCTTTTGGATTCGAAGACCATTGTTGTACGTCCGGCTTCATTATTATTGTGCTTGTGAGAGTGATCAGTCTTCCAAAGCTAAGAACAAAATAATTAGTAGTATTAATTATAATTATTATGTGAAGTCTTTTTTATGCAATCTTTTGGATCGAGCCAAGTTCTTTTTTTATGTACGTGGCAAATGGAAAATAAATAGAGATATGTTCTAACTCATGATAATGGTTGGTGTATTTAATTTTATTATAATGAGTTTTAGACATATGTTGCACACCTCTTTGGTTTCGTTTATTACTATCTCAGTAGATTGGAAAATAAATAAAGAAAAATTTTGACAAGTAGATAGAATATTCATACAGACTACTCAATAATTAATTTAGTGAATTTAATATCCATACAGACTATTGAATAATCATTATATTTTAAAGTTTTTTTTTTAAAATAACCAATATCCTATTTAAGAAGGAAATAGCTAGTTGCGTAGACTAGCTTGCTTCCTTTGCTATTCATCATTTTTTTTGGGTGTACATGTGTGTGTAGGATTTGATTCCTTTATTCATTAGTGAAGACTTTGGCCGCAATAAGCAAGATCTACCAAATTATAAATTTTGATGGCCCTGATTTGTTTATTTTTCCTATCACGGGCTTTGGCTTTTTGTCCCCGTGCTCTTCATCTTTTATTTTTTCAATAAATTTATGTTTGTCTGTGGAAGATTGATCGGGGTTGTAGTAATATATTTGTGATGGCAATCTTCATTGTGATGTTTTTGTCTGCCATTTCGAGGCTTAAAAAAAAAGGTTTGGTTAACAGGAAAAAAATTATTTAGTAAAAGAAATTATTTCTCTAGCATGAAACAATTTTTTTTATAAAAATATTCTTTTTTGTAGTTTGACTTTAAAATATGCTATTATTTTCTTATGTTCTTTTCATTCATAATAATATTAACTTTACAATTCTAATGTCATAAGATGTGAGTGTAGCAAAAAGACCATATTTGTAATATTGATCGAAATTAGAATGGAATAAATTCAATGAATTATTGTAAATTCACTTTAAGATATATTCTTATAATAATCTTCTTATTAAATTAATATATATATATA